TTATCCTTTACTCAAAAACCATTCTTTACTCTTACTTTCACTCTCTGTAACCCCTTGCGTGCTATATTGGCACTTCCGTCTTGTTTGGGGTGAAATGCTTAATATATATGGTGGACTCTCAAGTATACGACGTATGATAGTCAAGAGGCTCAGTTCCTAGGAGCCTATAGCCAGACACAATCGCATATAATTGGATTTTAGTGGAGAAGGCTTTGTGCAGAACCAACCACACATTTTGAAGGGCCAAAGAGAGGGACCTGGTGCACCACGAGCCACAAGGTCTCCAAACGACCCTCCGCAGGTTTTGAATTAACAGTTGTCCTCCTAGACCAGTTGCCACTCAGTCTGTCCTGCTATTTACCCATGGCTCGTGGGAGAAGAAAAGAAGAGGATTAACACCATCGCAAGGGTATTAGCACGTAATTAAATGTAATGGATTTGACTGGAATTTGAAATCAGCTCTCCGATTCCTCAATCCGAGTCACTATCCACAATGACATATATATATATATATATATATATATATATATATATATATATATATATATATATATATATCATTATTTTAAACATAACGATTACATCATTCAGAGAATTGTTAGTAAGTTAATATTTTACTGATCTGTTAGCGAAGTGATTTCGCCATTAATTAAATGAACTTTACTGATTAATTCTTTTAAGATTACTTCTTGATAATATTATATATACTGCACCAATTAATATATATATATGTATATATATAACTCCTAACGTTTGCATCAGAATTGTGCGACCGCTGAGGAAAACATATATATATATATATTCAAGAAATATATATATATATATATATATATATATATATATATATTCAAGAAGACATTCGGATTACTAACACAAAAACAGAGAATGTCTCATATCGAGAATATTTAACATTGAAAAACATAAGGAAAAAATTAATTATTTTTAATAATGTGTGGAAATCTCCGCTTTTACCTGAAGACGGTCACGAGACCAGAAACGCGTGTAGTAAAATTATGGAAAATAAAGCATAATATTTTATTTCTCAAAAAAAAAAAACACATTACATCCCCAAAATTGGCGGCACCTCTCTTCTTTTCTTTTTAATATACATACTTTTCTCTCGTTGGAACCACTACAACATCTTTCTTTTTTATATATATATATATATATATATATATATATATATATATATTATTATTATAAACTATAACTCTGTTATTATATATTGAGCAAGTACTCAATGTGCGATATATATATATATATATATATATATATATATATATATATATATATATATATATATAATATATTGTGAGATAGAATGAACTTAGAAAACAAAACTAAATGGCGATTGTCATTTTCAGGTTTCAAGTGACCTTCAGATTAATTGGCACTACTCAATTCCTCCATATAACGGCTACTTTGTGGTTTTAGGGACATGAGAGTCTGGTCCTTGTTTTGTTTCGAAATTATGTACAGACCTAACCACAAATATCTGTAGGTTATTTCGCTACACATCGTTCAGATCTATTTTATTTGTTCAGCTTCTGGGAATTTTCTCGTGCCAAGAGATTTTCAACAAACAACCCTATGCGTATATATATATATATATATGATGCTGAAAACATTAGGTCTAATACTCAGAAGTTCATACCCAGATGTCCTCAAGGACACATGGCACAGTGGATAAAGGCGTTGGTTAGATCCAGTGACAGACCCAAAGAAGGTGAGTTCAATTCCTGGTTAAGGCAGTGGAGAACTTTCAGAGGGAAAATTAGCAGGAGATAACTGATAACTGACATCCATCAAACATGGCACGTGGAATTAGAACAGTCTACCCCAGCGATCGAAATAAAGGGTTCAGTTCGAAATTCCAACCACCTGAAGAAGGCCGGAGCGTACAACGGCCGAAACGTTGTGACAAATATGGCGACAAAGATGAGGACAATAGTCCGACTAATGTAAATACTATATATATATATATATATATATATATACACACACATATTCATATATATATATATATATATACATATTAGGTTGGTGCAAAAATAATGACGTAATAATTTCGTTTTTGACGTATTTTTAACGTCAAAAACGACATTGTTATATCATTATTTTGCCCCAACCTAATATATATATATATATATATATATATATATATATATATATATATATATATATATATATGCCATTAGAGGCGTGTGAAAATATTGTTGTTTGTATAAATAAAACGAAGAATTTTTGCTTTCCCATTCTAAAACTGATTCAATGTTAATTACACCATTTCGTGTAAACATGTCTCATAAATTTCTTCGCTTAAGACGTGTTCTAATAGCGTATTTCAGGGTTCAACAACCATCTTTGTGCTTACCCCCTTAAAACATCCACTGGAGAAATCCACTTGCAGCGATTCGAGTTCTTTGCCATTTGTGTCTCCAACTCAATGTCATTCCCATGATGCAACAGTCATAAATAAAGACTGAATGGCATTTAACGTCGGCAATATCTTCCGAATGCAGCGCAGAATGTTGAATTGCTGTTATGAGTTTTCAGAATTTATTGATGTTTCTGTTTTTCTCCATTCACTTTTCTCTTATCTCACGCATTTCTGCTCGAAATCGAACGACAAATAGAAAATAAAAAAACAACTCAAGTTGTCAATTCGTGACATAGGCCTCTTTTTGTTTTAAGTGTTAATTATTACTTTTTCGTTCTTTATTTATTTCTTAAGCAAAATTTCTAAAGAAAATTGCTTCTTTTAAAGACACTTAAAGGCTCTGTTATCGGTGCTGCTTGAATTTCTGTACATATCCACAGGCCAACATTTTATTTTTCACTTTACCCTTTTGCTTGTTGAGTTGCCTTGAATCAACTTGTCATTTTCAGCATTTATGTCTGTCCGCTGACAATATGCCCAAAGGCAAAGGTTAATGTAGGTAGAACAAAAACTATCTTGTATCATTTCCATATGTTGTCTGATTTAAATAAATCTTAAGTCTCTTATGTTGGCTTCCATAGGCTAAGTAGTTGTTTAAAATCAAGCAAGCCGATAAAGCCAATATAGGCGCAAAGGGTTTACAAAGAGTAAAAGAAACGCTTTTAAGATAAAAAAAGGAGAATAAAAATAGAATATAATTCAAGGAGACATTGCATTTAGAGTTTTGAAGAGCAAATTTGACAGAAATCGAGAAGAAAGTCCTGCTATGAGCATAGAATTTCCGGTTACAACAAAAAATCAACAGAAAAATGAGGAGACCTATTTAAATATCTTTAATTAGGGAAGTCAAGTTAGCGTGCATTATCTATCTATATATATATATATATATATATATATATATATATATATATATATATATATAACTATATTTATCTATCTCTCTATATATATTTATCTATATATATATCTATATCTATCTATCTATCTATCTATCTATCTATATATATATATATATATATATATATATATATATATATATATATATATGTGTTTCAGTGTTAATATTAAAAGCTTATTCGACAATATGAAAGGAATTTACTTGAAATAAATGGACAAAACTTGTCTATATTATTTAACGAAACATGCATAAATGAAAAAATGCTGCCTAAATAGACACATATATATATATATATATATATATATATATATATATATATATATATATATATATATATTTGCAATAAAATAAAGGACATAAGACTACAAAGTCAATAATGTTGAAACTTGTCTGTAATTTTTCCTTTGTCATATTTGAATAAGCGAAGCAAAAGAAAAATACAAAATTCTACCTTTGTTCTCTGTTATAAAAGTGATACCAGTTAAATCAAAACTCAAATCGATGGCGGGTCATCAAAATAGTGTGGTTCGAAGAACAAAACGCCCACGTTTTTTCTTTCTTTCCTGTATCTCCGTGTATGTGTGAAGGAGAATTACGTCAATTTGTTTTTATATATTCCAGATGTTTATCAAATACAAGGAATGAGAGGCACTCAAAGTAGATATTTCCTGGAAGAGTTTTGGTATCAATACAAGAAGAGAGAGAAAGAAGTGAAGATTACTTCGACATATAAAACTTTATTTTAGTGAAACATTATATAGAGTACTGTTCACTTTTTTACGCTCTATTCTGTGAAAACACAACAAAGTTCCTCTGTTGTGAATCACCTGTATTGAACCGCCCCATTCTCCAGATGATACTGTCACAACTCCCAAAGGAGAGACCTGTAGTGTATGTGCTGACATACTGTCAGTAGTTTAAAATGAGGTAAATGTCTGAAAACTATACCAGGGGTTGACCTACGCACTGAATTGAAAATTGGGAAACGAGTTACTGGGCTTATTCGGACTGTTAATCCCTCCAAATAAAGAACTCTCTCCAAGAAACTGAATACTATAGTTGCAATATAAACTACAAGTGATCTCTGTGTATGTTCAACGAACGCATATGTTTATGAGAAGGCGTCTGCAGTAGAGATTGTCTAAGCACCTAGCAGACAGACACACTCTGATATGACAAGCAATCCACACACACACACACACACATATATATATATATATATATATTTAAAAGTGAACATTTAGTCAACACTTAGAAGCGACAGTCTGTTTCATGCTAGATGCATCTAGCATGAAACAGACTGTCGCCTCTAAGTGTTGACTACAATGTTCACTGTTATATTTACACATGCTCTATCTCTGATATATATATATATATATATATATATATATATATATATATATGTTAATTTCATGTAAATGTCCAATATTTCGATTTTGTTTATAATCACTTGCTTTGATAAAATCAAAAGACGAAACGCGTCGGGAAGAACTAAGTACTATTTTCATATTTACATATATATGTCTAAACGCGTATATATATACCTATATAAATAAATGATAAAAAAAGTCAATAAAATTATTTGAATGAATGTATCCTTGCCGTGAAAACTGAGAGCTTATTTTTAATCCGGCACAGTTATCTTGTTGCGAGTTGTATTCAATGAACAGACGATTATTTACTCTGACGAAATGTTTTGTGCATTTCTTGCATTTCTCATTCCTTCTCTCGGAGCGTTGCTCTTCGGTATCTTGTCGTAAACTTTCTTCCATTCGCATTCTCATATTTTCTTGCGTTAGATTCTTCCTCTGCTTTATTTCGAATCATATATATATATATATATATATATATATATATATATATATATATATATATATATATATATATATAAAAGAGAAAGAACAAATGCAGTAAAATCCACAGTTCCTTTAAAAGTGTGCTCAATACAAAGTTGTACATATTATTATTATTATTATTATTATTATTATTATTATTATTATAAGAGATTATAATAAAAATCATTTTAATTGGTTAATCGAGGCATACCCACAGTTTTAATTCTGAACTGATGCCAACTCCTTTTAACTTGAAGAGAAGAGAAAACGATTTGTTTTTAAATTTCCCTAAAAAAATCATCTCATCACTAGTTACCAACCATCGCCCGTGGAAGTATAATCATGGTACTGATACATGGAAGTTTTCGTGTAGCGATTTCAAATGTTTTTGTGATAATCTCTTATAATAAAAAATATATATATATGCATACATACATACATACATACATACATACATATATATATATATATATATATATATATATATATATATATATATATATATATATGCATACGTTCATGTACATTTAGAACAATCTAGGCATATTATGTCTATTTTAATTTTAATCCTCACATATGGAGAAAAGCGGCGTAGCTGTTTTTATATTTGCGCTTTGGGAGATTGCATGTCTGACAAAAATGTGAATATAGATGAGTGCTTTATGACTAGAACGTTTCAAGGAGACTTACAATTCATATGAATGACTATTTAAAGAAACATTCCTCTCTGCATTCACGATTTAGTGAAATATTAATCAATAATACAAGTATACTCCACCACGAAAATGAAAAACAAAATCTTCAAATTCTGGAAGCACTTTATATAAGAAAACTACACCTCAATGTAAATAAAATTAATTATGAGTATGTTAAAAAATTCTAAAATGTTTATAACATCAAGGTTTTAATTTATCTAAATTGAAATTGATAAAGACTATAATTAAAAACAATATTTTATCATATGCAATTACAATTTTAATAAGAATTTATGTAAATTAATTAAACTCCCTTACACAGCGTTAAGTTTTCAAATTTAACAGCATTCATGCTCACACATATTCATAACTTACATTAATTCTTTCTCATAGTAATTCATCCCTGAAGATGATCTTGGAGGAGATTGAAAGTACTTAGGAAAAAAATATATATAAACAGCCAGGCCGTCTTTCTCCATCAAAGTTATACCAACACTAAGATATTGAAACACGAATACAAGAGGATTAAAATAAAATAGTATAGTATGTTCAGATTGTTCAGTCAAACATGCTTGAATATATATATATATATATATATATATATATATATATATATATATATATATATATATATATATATATATATATAAATCTAGCCAATGCCCTGTTTATTTGAAGCTACCTTAGCTTGGCAGGAAATGTCAGCTATTATCGGACAAAATTTCGGCGTCCATTTTGTCTACATAAAATTCTGTTAAGTTGCGCACGGTTTTTAATACTAGAACCCTGCTTCCTTCCTTTTCTAAAGATAGGCTGTCCAATTTTCATAAAGATTCTGTTGTTTATAAATTCAAATGCCGTTGTGGCGCGGTATACATAGGGCGTACCAATCTAAGGTTGGAGACGAGGGTGGTGCAGCATGTTCCTGCTTTTGTGCGTTCAGGCAGTCCTGGTCAGCCTATAAGAAGAACAACTCAGTCAGTCCATGAGTCAGCAATTGGGCAACATTTGCTGGGCAATCATGCTTGTGCCGCTGAGTACGAAGACACGGGGTTTTCGGTTTTACAGAGCGCTCGATCAATACACCATCTTCGAGTTTCTGAAGCCGTTTATATTAAGCAACCCAGTCTCTGCAGACAGAAGGAACATTTTTTCCGTTCCTTACGTCTGTTGGATGGTCTGTGAGTTACCCTTTTTCTATTTTATATAATCTTGTGGAACTATTTATCTACATCCCCCCCTCGTTCAATTTCAATTTATATAATTAAAATTTGTCTTTTAGTCGAGTTACACCTTTCCCTCCCCATTCACTTCATTAAGTGTTTCTTTGTATTCATTTATATCTAATATTGCCAACGAATATCTTTGACAAAGCGTCGGCCGAAAGGTACCTTAGGTATGACATCCACTTTATTTAAAGCTATATATATATATATATATATATATATATATATATATATATATAGATAGATAGATAGATAGATAGATAGATAATATTAGTAGTAAATAGACATATACATATGCAAAATATATAAATATATGTACATACACATACATACATACATATTTGTATAAAAAATAATTCCAAGAGTATAGAATCCAGGTAGAACTCAATGTCCAGGACAGAGTAAGGATATAATAAAAAAGGCTTATGGAATATTAGTGTTTAAGCCTTATTATATTATATATATATATATATATATATATATATATATATATATATATATATATATATATATATATATATCCGAGATATTTACTGAGATGACAGGCAACCGATCTGTTAACATCCGTTCTCTCTGTATCCTTCTCACTCTCGTTTTCTCCAAGAAACGAGTTTTACATCTATGTCCCCGTCTGTAATATGGTCACTTAAAAGAGTATGCAGCGTTGGGGTTGCTACTGTGGATTATCAGATAGACGACACGAAGCGCAACACTACTTAATATTAAGGAAAATTAATTCAAATTCATATTTGTTGTATGTGATCGAAACGAAACGAAACAGACACGTATAGTGAGTAGGCAGAGGGAAAGTTTTTTTCTCGCTTCATAAAAGGAACAATAAAGAACTCGCTGTTAATCTCAGTAAACACAGCGAAAAAATATTTCCTCATAAATACTAAAGATTCTATTGAAACCTTTTTTTTCCGTCATATATTTTCGTTTTAAAGTCGTTACTATAAAAAGAGATTATCGTCTCTAAAAATGGCATGTTTGTGCTTCTTAAGAAAAGAGACAGTTTAAATGACGACTGAGATTAATTTCGCCGAACTAAAATAAAAACCTCTTCCATAGACTCTAAGCATTGTCTCATGTTTCCAAACGATCAAGTGATTTTAACTGATTGTAACATCGGTAAAATAAAAAAGACGTTTATATTTTTATGTCAGTCTAATGAAAACCAAGTCAGCGGTTCTAAAGTTCTTCCGGGGTATGACGATAAACTACATCCTGTGGCAAGAAATCTGATCAGGAACTTGGACGTTTTGAGGGCCATGAACGAACTCTTAACTGCTGTTATTTTACAGTTCCAACGAACCGGAGTGTTAGAACCGTTTAAGCTCACAGCAATGGGCATATAGTGAACCTCTCCACAAACAGTGTACTCTCACTGGATCTAACCAACGCCTTTATCCACTGTGTCATGTGTCCTTGAGGACACATGGCACAGACAGACCCAAAGAGTGTGAGTTCAATACCCGGTTAAGGCAGTGGAGAACTTTCAGAGGGAAAATTAGCAGGGGATAACTGATAACTGACATCCATCAAACATGGCACGTGGAACTAGAACAGTCTACCCTAGTGATCGAAATAAAGGGTTCAGTTCGAAATTCCAACCACCTGAAGAAGGCCGGAGCGTACAACGGCCGAAACGTTGTGATAAATATGGCGACAAAGGTGAAGACAATTATCCGAATAATATAAATACTGTACATAATACCTCATCTGAGAAATATAGACAAAATATATGTACTTAAAATCAGAAAATTGCGTGCAAAATATTTAGATTTCGGCATTAGATAACCCATAAAGATGTTGATATGCCGCTAAAAAAACATGAAAGAACCGGTTCTATAGGCAATAAAATAAATGAAAACAAACTCAGAATGTACCGTTTCCTTTCGAAATATTCAAAGGAAGGTGAAATGCTATTCTATCTTTGTTTTTCTGGGAATATTTTCAGGTATTTTCTGTTACTGTGAATCATTCTGTCAGGATGATGCACAGTCTCATTACGCGATCAATTAATCATCCAGATTAGATATTTTAGATATTTAGCTGAGTTTTCGAGAAAGTCAGAAACGTACGGCGCCGGGAGAAAACTGAAGCCAACGAGAAAATAAATAAATAGCGGAAAAATGGTTCATAAATAATATATATATATATATATATATATATATATATATATATATATATATATATATATATATGGGGGGTATGTGTGTGTGTGTGTGTGTGCCTTATCATCCGTAATTTGTAATGAAGTAACTGTAAGATGTGTATGCAAATCTTGTCAAAGAAAAAGACATTTGGAAAAAAGCGCGATATCTATCTATCTGTCTATCTATCTATCTATATATATATATATATATATATATATATATATATATATATATATATATATATATATATATATATATATATATATATATATATATATATATATATTCCATTTATCTATCTATATCTCTCTATTTCAGTTTGGCTACATCTATCATTATATATATATATATATATATATATATATATATATATATATATATATATTCCATTTACCTCTCTCAGTTTGGGCATATCTATCACTCTGCCTATCTATCTATCTATCTATCTATCTATCTATCTATCGCGTGCAATTAATATATATATATATATATATATATATGTGTGTGTGTGTGTGTGTGTGTGTGTGTGTGTGTGTGTGTGTGTGCGTGCGTGTAAGCAAATATATGGATATAGATCCGACAGTATGAAGAAAAATATATACGGAAAAAACAAAACAAAAATCTTTATATACAATTATGCAGTTTTAATTTTAATATGTCAACGTCGGACGTTTCGGTCTAATAAACCATCTTCAGGACATATTCATAAATATAACATTATCAATACAACATGAAAAAGACGATGTTCTTGTTCTTATGTACATCGTCTTTCATTAAAACTGCATAATTGTATATCTGTTTTTGTTTTGTTTTTTCCGTATATGTTTTCATTCATATATATATATATATATATATATATATATATAAAAGAAATATGTTGTAGTGGTTCCAACGAGAAACTATGTAAAAAATTAAAACGTTTTTGGTTGTAATGTGGATTTATTCGAAAAATATTATACTTTGTTGGACATAATTTCACGACACGTGTTTTGGTCTGGTCTCGCAACCGTCTTCAGGTGAAAGTGGAATTTTTACATATTATTAAAAATAATTAATTTTTCTTCATGTTCAATGTGGAATATTCTCGATATGAGACATTCTGTTTGCCAACACAATCCGAATTTTCTTTCAGAATTGTCAATGAATAGTTCTGCGTGAAGGGTCATTAAAACAATTAAGGTTTGAAGTAGTTATCGGCATTTAAAGTGACCTCTATGTGCTCTTGGATCTGTTTCTATTTTGGCGTGTTTTAGCATGCGTGTATATATGCGTGTAAAATCTTACTAGCACATAGAGGTCACTAAAACATTAAAAGATTTGCCGATAACCTGACAAGACTTAATTGTTTTATGAGACAGAACTCTTCAGACTAGAAAACGGACGTGTCGAGAATAAATTGAACATGAAGAAAAAAAAACAAAGTAAAAAATTCCACTTTATGATACCAGACTTTTGAAATTATATAAATAAATATGATATTTTTTCTCAACAACCAAAAACGTTTGCGGCACCCCTCTTCTTTTTAATATATATATATATATATATATATATATATATATATATATATATATATATATATATATATATATATAAAAGATATTTTTGTAGGTACAAAATTTAATGATCGAAATAAAAGTGTAAAATTTAATATTACAAGACATATTAAAACAAACTTTTATTTCGATATATATATATATATATATATATATATATATATATATATATATATATATATATAAATGGTGGTACCTGTTTGGAAAAACCTCGGATAGCTCAACTTGCAGTAGAACAAATCGGTACTCGAGGAAAAATGAGGAATAATAAAAGAAAGAACCAAGAACATTAAAACAAGGCGAAAACAATCGTCCATTGTTCAAGATTCAAGTCCAAAGAAAAAAACAAACAAAACGAGTAAAAAGATAACTACGTAAAGTGCTTAATACACTAAGTAGACCAAAACCTATGGTAAGATAATTCTAAGGAGGTCCTTAAAATTATCTTATCTCATATATATATATATATATATATATATATATATATTTATATATATTCCATTTAACTCTTTCTCTCACTCAGTTTGGCCATAACTCTCATTCTGCCTATCTATCTATCTATCTATCTATCTATCTATCTATCTATCTATCTATCTATTCCATTTATCTCTCTCACTATTTCAGTTTGTCCATATCTATCTGATGTGGGTCCAAAGTTGGGACCACAGAAGGAAAACACGGAACACGGATTAGATGTAAGAAAGATATATTAACAACAGGTTACAGAGATAGTGTAAGCGGAGCTTACTATATATTAGTGTCCAATACTGGTAGCCGTACGCGGCTCTCACTGTCTCTCTATGTCACTCTCTAGAGTGCTATGTCGCCTACTTAATATAGGCCTGGAAGAGTCTATTGTGTGTGTAGTTTTCGGTCTCACAATACTATCTAAACTGAAGGGGGATCCATAGGCGGGAAGTTCGAAAAATATGCCAGTATTTTAATATCTATCTATCTATCTATCTATCTATCTATCTATCTATCTATCTCAGGCTGTTCATATCTATCAGATATGATATCATCATCTCTGCGATACTTGTACATATCTGCAGATATGACGTAATCTTCACTGTCATACTGGTTTCTAGCCAAATGTTTATCACATTGTGAAATAGTCAGATAATAGTCAGATGTGGCCAAATCAAGATAATACGGATCATTGTCCTGATGAAACAAGAGCTCTTTCCTCAGATTTCCTGAGCGTTTGGTCTTTCGTAACTGTCTTAGTAGGTTAGCACATAATTCTCTGCTGATGGTGTAACCCTTTTGAGGATAGTCATTAAAACAATACTTTTTGCATCCCTCAAAAAACAGAGGCCATCAATGGCGGTAATGAAACCACCTTGACTTTATTTGGAGTAGGTGGGTATCTTTATTTTCACTGCAGCGATTGTCTCTGGATCAATGTGATGAACCCAACATTCATCCTGGATTAGGAAACGTTCAATGAAACAAAATGGATATGCCTCAGCAAATGTCTGAGTTTTCCATGATGTGATGATCCTTGTGCGAGAAGAAACCTTCGTCATACCAAGTTCATTGTGCGGCATATTCTCGACTATCACACGGGATCTTCTATTAGCATTGGCGATGTATAGTTAATTGTCACACATAAAATGGACAAATACCGACAATTATATTTTAAGTCATGTTTTTTATGTTTATACGTTCTTTTTATAGATGCAAATATTTAAGTAACAGCTCTATCGCCAATCCTTCATGACCAACTTATGAACATTTCAGGCCACCGTCGTATCTATTAATCTATTGCACTTCCTTCATATCTATCTATGTATCTATCTATCTATCTATCTATCTATCTATCTATTTATCTATCTATCTATCTATCTGCCTGTCAGCGTGTTCAGTATCTATCTATCTATCTATCTATCTATCTATCTATCTATCTATCTATCTCAGTTTGTTCATATATGCTTATCTATTTCCGTGTGATCGTATCTAACTGGTTATCTTTCTATATCTCTATATATAAGTCCATAGCAATCTAAATTTTTCACACACACACAAACATATATTTATGTATCTATCTATATATATATATATATATATATATATATATATATATATATATATATATATATATATATATAAACACACATAAACACATATACACATACACACATAGATAAACAAACATATATATGCATATATATATGAACACCCACAAAACAGACAAAGATATGTACACACATATGTATACATATATATGTACACACACACGCATATATATATATACATATGTGAAAATATAAAAAATAGGAAGGAACTGGTTAGGTAAATAATCCAAAGTCCCTTAGTATTTTAGTTATTATTTTTAAAAAAAATAGTGCTCGATACAAAAGTAGAGCATAAATGCGTTTTGGAATCATATTTTTAAATAAAAATTATATATATATATATATATATATATATATATATATATATATATATATATGTGTGTGTGTGTGTGTGTGTGTGTGTGTGTGTGTGTGTGTGTACACACATATATATGTACACACACTAAATATATATACACATAAATATATATATATATATATATATATATATATATATATATATATCAAACATGTTTGGTTGAATACTATCAACAAGTTTTGTTTATCCATTTTTTTGTTAAACTTAAAATTAGTTATTTAAATTAATTGTATAAGTTTTCAAATAAATGCCATCTAACACTTCTTAGAAGTCAATGATTTTACCTGGATATGCAGACACAATTTTACAGTAAATATACAAGAAATACGCATACGCACACACACACACACACACACACACACACACACACACACACACACACACATATATATATAATCAAACACGTTTGATTTAATTATATCGACAAGTTTTGTATATTCAATTTTAGGAAACCATATTGATGTTAAGATTCGGTATCTGAAGCCTCAATTTGAACTACAAATATTGACGGCTGAGCTGAATCAAGCTGATATGACCAATGAGACGTACCAAAATACATTTGACTGTATTCAGTTTATCATTTTCACAGATCGTTTAACGCCATTTTTTCGCCATAAAAAAATGCTTTGACAAACAAATATCAAACATGAAAGAAACTGAAATCATATGATACATAACGAAACATTCACGCTGGACTTAACGACATATTGACATATCAGAGCAGATTTACACGTTAGCAGTATTACGGAGGCAGTCATCTATCGATCTCTCAGTGCAACATTTTATTGTATGTATGTGTACGAGAGTTTGATCTAAGAGTGAACATACCTTTAGCCTCAGAAAATACTAGAGTACGAAAGAAATGTATAAATCTGCCATGAGGTGGGGGGGCTGTGGCTTTCATTGGTGTCAAGTTCTCGTAATGTGGTATGTTACGGTACGAAACTCTTATTTTTATGCACTTAAGATAATCTAATACGACGAACTACAGCACATTGAATCTGGTTTCATCTTCTGTAAGTGGATTTTACAGATGGACAACACCAGCAACATAAGTAAAGAACTATTATTTGATAACATACATCTGAAACGCCCCCACCATGTATATATATATATATATATATATATATATATACACAGAGAGAGAGAGAGAGAGAGATTAAGATAGATAGATAGATAGAGAGAGAGATTAAGATAGATAGGTAGATAGATAGAGAGATAGAAAGAGAGATAGATAGAGAGATAGATAAATATATATTTATTATCGAAAACATATCTGCTCAGATTTTCGTATTCAAACCTAAACAAAGTAATATCCGATGAATAAATGGAATCAATATACAAAGAGATATTATATATATATATATATATATATATATATATATATATAGAGAGAGAGAGAGAGAGGGATTAAGATAGAGAGAGAGATTAAGATAGATAGAGAGAGAGAGAGAGGGATTAAGATAGAGAGAGAGATTAAGATAGATAGATAGAGAGAGAGATAAAGATATATTTATTATCGAAAACTCATATCTGCTCAGATTTTCTTAGTCAAACCTAAAGAAAGTAATATCCGATGAATAAATGGAATCAATATACAAAGAGATTATATATATATATATATATATATATATATATATATATATATATATATATATATATATATATATAAAAGTGAACATTGAAGTCAACACTCAGCGGGGACAGGCTGTTTCATGCTGGACGCAATCGTCAGGCCGCGAATGCTGGATTTTTCCTCGGCTATTTATATATATGGGTCAGTGGTGTATTGTGGGTAATCTATTCCGGCGGTTATTTTTGGGGTAGTTGCTCTTTCAAGAGTTTTTTTGTCTTGCGTCCACGGATGCCCATAAATTGTAACAGGAAATGTTAGCGTAACGAAAAACCGAGTAGAAATGAAATCTTAAATCTTCTACAAGTGCTCAAATCCAAGAGTAAAAAAATACATTGATTTTTAAATTTTTTCAAATCCTAGTAATTGTCGGATTTTAATTAAAATGAACATATTCACAAAAGAATGGAATTATTTTAGATATTATTTTTGAATTCGTGGTAATATATATTTAATCTGTTTCCTCGCATTTATTCAATTTATAATATTTCGAGAAAATCATTTTATACCCTTTAATGTTTATAATGATTATAAGCAGAAGGCATTTAGAGAATTTAATTCATTTTTTTTTCTTTTGTAAATCAGGTCTCTCACTTACCAAATATCTACACTGACTCCTAAAATAAATAGTGCAATGAAACTGAGGCATTATGTAATTAGAATAGCTTTTAATTTTTTTAAAGAATAATATATATTAGGGACAACATTGTCTGAAGAAAAACATTTATTAAGTAAATAATGAATTCTTACAAGGATTATTTTAATTTTTTAAAGAATTTAATTAGAATAATTCATAAAGTTTTAAATATTTTAAAATTATAAATTAATTTTTGCCGGTTAAGTGATATCGTTATTAAAAATCTCTATATACTAATCACGGCTGGAAGAGCTTACTACAATTCAAGATCCACAGTATTTAAAAAAAAATGATTTTTTTTTTGTCTGTGTATAAACATGAAGATTTTTTTTTTAAATACTGGCGCCCATACACGATATCATCAAAAAATAAGAGCGGCAGCTATATTAAATTTAAAGCCAAAGTCAAATTAACTAAAATATTAGATCACTTAGAATATTTTTCCTAAATTTTTAAGATTACTGGGTAGATAAAAATGATATAAAAAGGCTTTCACTTTATATCCGTTTGTTCAGGTTGATATTCGACATTAAATAATCCAAGAAGGGTTGATATTTCGTTAAATTAACAAACCTTCTCTGAAGGAAAGCGAGAAGAAGGAAGGACTAAACATCAATTGCAGGAAAACATAATGCATGGTTTTCAGCCAAAAAATAAAATAAAATACACAGCCCAAAATGCAAACTATACATTGAAAACATGTAAATCAAACGAGTAAAACAATTTAAATATCTGGGAAGAGTTTTAACAAAGTGCGACACTGAAATCCGAAGGATCATTGAGATAGATGCATGCCTTAAGCTAAGCAAAAGAATAAGGAACAGGAAAATCTTTTTTAGAAACAAAGAAAAGAATACTGGATTGTTGAATAATAGCAATCCCCCAATACGGCATTGAATCGTGGGCAATCTTTTCACAGATGTAGATAAAACTGGAAGCAACAGAAATATGGCTCTACAGAAAAGACATCTACAGATGCTGAGAATACCGTGAACTGAACCTGTTAGCAACAACGAAATTTTAGAGAAACTGGGAACAAAAAAGGACATTACACTTAACATCAGAAAGAGATAGCTCAAATTCTAAGACATATAAGGAGGAAAGAGGGCTTCGAAAATCTGACACTTACAGGACTTATTGAATACAAAAGAGACAGAAGAAAAACGGCATAACCTACTTAACGAGCATGCGTAAATTGTTCTCAGAACAGGATGTAGGAGAGATGGCAAAAAATAAATATGACTAAAGACTTCAAAGGACAAGAAATTTTAGAGAGCCATGATAGCCAAAGTTCGGAATTGAAACGGAAAGAAGAAGATGGAGGAAGATGAGGAGTTGAAGGAGATTCCTCGCCTAACCTCGAAAACGAGATTAAACAAGAAAGGGTTTAGCTGGTTAATTTACTGAAAGTAAATTCATATTGAAAAGTTGTTTGCCAATATGCTTAAGTCGTAAAGACAAATGAACAATTGTAAAATGACAGTTATAATATGTTTTCTATATATGGAAATTTATATTGTTACTTTTAAACAAATACAGATAAAGAGCAATGAAAATTGAATAGGTTGAACGTACAAACAAAATCAATGTAAATGATTTTAGAAGTGTTTAAGCAGTATAAATAGATGATTTTAAATAGTATACTAAAAAGAAGGGATAACAGATGGAGCAATAGGTTGGTTAAATATGTATTGTCCAATAACCAGCAAACCTAGTAAAATAATAAAAAAACAAAAACGCCATTTTGAACATGGAAAAATAATATAAACAATTATGTGTAAAGCTTCAAAAGATAAGAAATTGTAGACAGCCATGATAACCAATGTCTGGCAGTGAAACGCAAAGAAGAAGAAGAAGAAGAAGAAGAAGAAGAAGAAGAAGAAGAAGGTGGAGGTGGAGGAGGAGAATCCTCGCCTAATCCCGAAAATGAAATTAAACCACAAAAAGTTTACCTGATAAATAATTTACGGAAAGTAAATTCATATTGAAAAGTTGTTTCCCAATATACTTAAATCGTAAAGCCAAATGTACAATTGTAAAATGACTGTTATAATTTATGCTTTCTAAATAAGAAAATTTATATTGTTACTTGTAAACATATATAGAAACGTACAAAGAACAATGAAAATAGGCTAGGCTGAACGTAGAAACAAAATAACAAAATCGATGTAAATGATTATAGAAGTGTTTAAGCAGTATAAATAGATTACTTTAAATAGTATACTAAAAAGAAAGGATAACAGATGG